AGCTGATTCTCAGAGCTGTCTCACGAGGCTCGTAACCTGAGATAATTGCTCTCCAACGCTGTCCTCCAGCTTCCACTAATTGGGTATCTCTGTGAAAGAGTTTTTCACTGGCTCTTATTGTGTTTCTTGCTCCTAGATACAGTTCATAAAGCAACGGCCTCGCAAAAAGAAAGTCTGTGTCCTTTTCAAATTAGATTTAAATCTATTCACCCTGTAGTTAATTACTCAATTAGCCGATTACTTGAAGAATAGATGAATTGAGGTGCGCTGGCTACGGATGCCATGCTTATCAACACAGTTACTGTGATGGTGTTCAGTGGATACTGGTAATTGGTATCTTTGTGTTATTTGTGTGTTGCATTTTGCAGGTGAATAAACTTTTGTAATATGTTCACTGAACTGGAAAGGCTTTAAGTTAAAAAAAAAAGAAGAAGAGGAAAACGTATTAATTATTGTTTTGAACACTAGCTGTGAATTTAATTAAAAAACTTATCTGACTGTACTTGTTGAAATCTGAGGCCCTTATAACACATTTGTCCACGAACATCTCCACCAATATATATGGAACTATTTACTGGGTGTTATCACACAGTGTGTAAAAGACCCGCACAGTGACGTCACGCTAAACACTGTTTAAAAAGAAAATTTCAACCCCTTAAAATGAGCTGAGGAGACCGTGACTGTTTCTTGTATCAGGCTGTAAACTTGTTTATTTTTGTTGGTCATTTTAACATGGGAGTCTGCAATGATTAAATCGCCTTTCAACCATAGACTGTATAAAACACTGGCGTAGCTCCCAGATTGGAACAATTAAGCCAGTGTTGTATTGCCTTAAACCAGCAGTCTGTGTAAAGACCGAGTGCTGTGATTGCAGAAAGACATCTAGTCCTCTAGACGTCTGTGGGAAAGCATCTTTTTGCATCGACCTCACTTTCTGACCAAACTATTTCCTAAGTCGTTTCACATAGAAAGAAACAAGTACTCTGCCTCAAGTGGCCACTAGGGGAACTGCA